CCCTCCCCAAGCAAGAGAGCAGGATAAACAAATGGGGGTGGCTCCGGGGGAATGGACAATCAAAAGACTAATACACTGGGGACCTCTTCAAAAGCACTGATCACCATGACCCAATTCCATCCTCCCGACTTACACTATGACGCCTGCTATGGTACTCTCCAGAGGACAGGGAAACCTGTCAGGTTTGGGGAGACAGGAGGTGATGGCTCTAGTCAAACATTTCTGAGCTGGGCTATGATCTTTTCTTCCAATTATTCAGACATTAAATGGAGTCAGTTTCCAGTGCTATTTATTCCTAGGCCCTTCTCTTTGCTCACTAGAATTTTTACTCATAAGAGAGCCCATAATCACACTTTCTAATTTAGCCCCCCACTCCCTTTTACCAAATCAGTCCCAACTTGGAAAGGGATGACTTTCTTATCCCACTGTGTGGGATTCCTACACCCCATAATCTCTATGTGGAGGTATGTGTGTGTTGAGAGGGCATTCAGATCCTTTAGGAAAAAAATACTCAGTTTCCCATTTGAGCTGAAAATGCAAATGAAACACATTTTTCAGGGCACCTGGGTGGCTCAGTCAGTTAAGAATCCAACTCTTGATCTCAGCTCAGGACTTGATCTCAGGGTCATGAGTTCAAGCCCCGCACTGGGCTCCACGCTGGGCGTGGGACCTACTTTATTTATTTTTTTTGAAAGATTTTATTTGACAGAGACACAACGAGAGAAGGAACACAAGCAAGGGCAGTTAGAGAGGGAGAAGCAGGTTTCCCGCTGAGCAGGGAGCCTGATGCAGGGCTCGATCCCAGGACCCTGGGATCACGACCTGAGCTGAAGGTAGACGCTTAACGACTGAGCTACCCAGGCGCCCCAAGGAACCTACTTTAAAAAGGGGGGGGGGGCACCTGGGTGGCTCAGTTGGTTGGGCGACTGCCTTCGGCTGAGGTCATGATCCTGGAGGCCCGGGATCAAGTCCCACGTCGGGCTCCCTGCTCGGCGGGGAGTCTGCTTCTCCCTCTGACCCTCCCCCCTCCCGTGCTCTCTGTCTCATTCTCTCTCTCAAATGAATAAATAAAAATCTTTAAAAAATAAAAAAATTTAAAAAAGAAACACTTTTCAAAAAAGAACATATTATTTAGTTGTTACCTATATAGATGAATTATAAAGTTTATTTACAAACTTTATGAATTAGCCAACTTTGGTTTGGCAAAACTGAATCATAAGTATTTAAAAATACCAGCATACTTTAGTGCTTTCTTGGAGTTTCTATATCATGAAGTAATGGTTGCCCACGTACTTCTCTTTGCAAAAATGTAAGCTCATAAATGAGTTCAGAGACTCAGTCAGCCTTATTCACCACTGTATCCTTATCACTTCTGCCAGCGGTCTGGCATTGGTAGATCCTCCATCACAGAAATTTATTGAATGAAAGAGAAAATACATGAACGAATGAATAAATGAATGAATGAATGAGAGAATGAAGTAAACAATCCATTATTTTCTACCCTGATGTGTGAAACTGTGTTTTTATGTGGTATGGACTAAAACATGCTAGAAACTACCAAATGTTTACTTGTATTTTATTCCTAACCAATAAAGGTCCAATAATCTTTAAAAATGAATGCTCTAGTTTGGAAGATTCAGGATAAGAATCTGAGAAAGCAACCACACAGGTAGGTCAAAGTAAGTTACCATCCACGAGTTACCATACAGGACACAATAGATGAAAATGGCCACTAGAGGGAACCACACAACCTTTCAAAGAGCAGCATTAGGAAAAACCCATCCAGTAGAGTGGTTCTGCTCTCAGCACTTCCCACCATAGCTCACCACCATAAAATTGCTATTACTACTGCACTATATAATGTCCAACTCACCAGAACAAGCTGAGACAAAGTTAGAGTTGCAGTTTACTAGGATTCAGACTTTTAGAAAAATGACCCCGCCTCCCCAGCTCAAATATTTCACATCTTTTCATGTACACTCTAGCATTAAAAATTAAATGTAAATAGAAGAAAATTATTTTCCCTATGGACGATGATTGAAACTATTAAAAATTCACCTGGAAAGAAGACAAGACTATAACCTAAAGAATGAAAAAATTAATTTTTAAAGCTGTGTGCAATTACTTCTTGTCTCCAGCCATATTTTTGTAAAGGAACTTTTCAACTGTTGGAGCATTCAATTTCACCTCCTCCAGTAAAGAAACAAGGCATGTGCAAGCTGAGAAGTCACACCAGATAATATTATGATCCTATTGGTCAAGTTTCAAAGGCTTCATATGTAACTGAGTGTAGGAAGAAAAAAATTTCCCACAAACTCCTTCTCTCAAAAGTTCTGAAAACCCTGTAAATATTTTCAGGGCCATTAAAAGCCACAGATGTTATCAATAGGCAAGATCCATGCAAACTTTAAAAGACCTAGTCCATAAAGGCCGCAGCTTCAAAAACAGATTTTGAAACATTTGAAAGGAACACAAGCTAATTTCCCTTTGGAACAATGTAAAATGTCCATGCCTTACTTAGAACGTAAAAAGCAATTGGCTCTAAAAAAAAGAAAATTAAAAAAAAAAAAAAAAAGCAATTGGCTCCACTGGGCTTCTTGCTTACAGTTCTATTTCTACAGCACATAAAATTGTAGGAAACCTCCAAAATAAGTCAGAAATAAAGGAACAAAAGATAGAACTTGAAAAACAGAACAATTCAAGAAAGCAACTCTAAGAATAACTAATTAAAAACTAAAATTAAATTAAATGGCTGTGTGAGATTTCCAAGGCAAGAGAAGATTCCAGAACCTGCCCTGTTTGGTGACCTGTGGGAAAACCTAATGGGCTAACACTTGCAGATTTCCAAGAAGGCAGACAGACTAGAAACTGAGAAACTGCAGAGCATCTGGGCTAATCTGTGATTGCATTTGCAGCCCCCACTCACCAACCCGGAAAAAACCTGAAATGTCAGTGCTGACAAAATTGTTACAAGATGAAGCTGGCTGGCTGAAAACCCTCCTGAGTGAATTAAAATCCTGACTGCTGGCCCCGGGGGGAGACAGAAGTTGTGGGTGAAAACTGGGAACTAGCCATGATTTACACAGGGAGTGAAAAGATCATAATTTAGATTTTTTTTTTAATTACATAGTTTTAGTAATCTAATTATATCATAATTATAATGATGACCCTTCTTCCTTCAAAGGACTCCAAGCATGCTTCTGGAACATTCTCTGTGAAAGTTCCCTCATTTGCTGCTTTAAAGAGAGAGTTGGCAAATCTCACAGAGTGAGTTAAAGTGACAGGTCTGGCATCTGACTTCCAGCTCAGTTTCCTGTGACCAGACCACACCAACTCTCAGCTCTTGAAATAACCCCCAGCGGAATTCTCTTCGGAGGAAAGCAATCTCCCCAATTATGAGAAAACGCCCTCCCCTTCTTTACCCCCCTCTGGCCTGTGCAATTTCCACATTATTTCCACATTCAGATTCACAAACTTTTTTTTTTTTCATTCCCAGCCAAGGAACTGCAACATCCAAGACACAAAGGCCTCGTCCACGTGGGAGCTGCAGGCTCATTTGTAAAGCTCCTGGATAAACCTAAACCCGCACGGCTGTTCACCTTAGTGCATGGGTACTATCTCCATTTCTAACTGTGGATGCCACAGGGCAAGTCATTTAACCACCTCATTAGGATCGTAGTCACAGCCCTGCCATGGCCTCCTTCTCAGGTGCCTGGTCACCCCATTAATATCTGTAAAGATCCACTAAGTCTTCTAGCTGAAAGGCACCATAAAAGCAAAACCTATCACTGTTATCATCAATAAACTCCAAGACGCTCTTCCCTGTCACGACCTAAGGTAAATCAGTTACCCACTGCCCCCTAATGAGCTACCTGCAGCCTGGGATGTTGCATTTGATGCTGACCAGAGCTTCCTTTCCCAGCAGGGAAGAAAAGCTAGGGCTTTCACTTTGGCCAGTGAACTTAAAACTCTTAAAACCTCCTGCGCCTCCCACCCATACACCGCACCTGCAGCCTCACGGGCTCTGCACGGATCCGGCCCTGCCTCCAGGGACCCTCACCTTGAGCACTGAGCTAAGAACCAGCAGCAGTGTGCAATCCATGCTCAACGTGGAAGAGGTGGAAGACACACTGTTAAAAAGTAACTTGGAGGGGCGCCTGGGTGGCTCAGTCGTTAAGCGTCTGCCTTTGGCTCGGGTCATGATCTCAGGGTCCTGGCATCGAGCCCCGCATCGGGCTCCCTGCTTGGCAGGAGGCCTGCTTCTCCCTCTCCACTCCCCCTGCTTGTGTTCCCTCTCTCGCTGTATCTCTCTCTGTCAAATAAATAAAAAATCTTAAAAAAAAAAAAAAAGTAACTTGGAGAATCAGACACCAGTATGTCTGGTCTTCCCAGCCGCTGCCTCCCTTTGGGACCCTCCACCTGTTCTCATTGCTCGAAAACCCCCTCCATCAACACCCCGCCAGCAAACTCACCAAGGAGCTCTAACACCCCAAACTGAGGACAGTGTCTGTCTGTAACCGGGGCTGCCCAAATAAACAACATCTCCACCCAGCAGCATACTATGCTGCCAGTAAAAAGGACAGGAAGGACAAGGTACTCCTTTGCAGAATGCTATCTATGCAACGCTACCATTTACGGATGCGTGTCATCTCCCACAAGGGTGGCGGGAGGGGGCATGGAAGGCTGGCTCTTCAGAGTAAACCCTTGTGTGGCTTTCCAATTGTTAACCAGGTGCACACATTCATCTAGGTTTCAGAGATCCTTCTAATTATAAACGAGGAGCCCCTCCGTCCCTGAGAGCTTCTGATTTAGCTAAACTGGGGGAGATCTAGCGCAAGGTTTAGAAGGTGTGGTTCGTTCAGGAAAGGACGGTGGGCCAAGGACAAGAAGCCCCCACTCTGGTCTCCCTCCCCCCTCGGTTCTTGCAACATTAAACAGAACACCTGTACCGGCCTGACTCCATCAGCACGCATTAACCCGGGCTTCAAAGGGCACGGCGCTCACTGCGACTCACAGTCTGGAGGTCTTGACTGCTGCAGTTGAACCTTCAGCCAGATGCTGCCTCGCTGGCCCCAGGCTCCTGGGGGCTCCACCTCCCACAGGCGACCCCGCTCCTCCGGATGGGCCAACAGGAACTTCCTGCAGACTGAGCACGCGCACTGTGAGCCAGGAAGGCCCGCCCCCTTCTGCCTCTCAAGGCACTTCCGGTTCCTGGTGAGGCCCCGCCCACCCCGCCCCGGCTCACCGCTCTGATCCTGTTCCGCACGAACCACCGTTTCACCTTCTCACCTGCCACGTGGTGCTCACACTTTCACCTACCCCCATCTTAGCTTGGGGCCGCCATAACAGAACGCCACACACTGGGGGGCTTCAACAGCAGACTCGCTGTCTCACAGGGAAGGGAGTCCCACCTCCGGATGTAGGCAGAGGCTCGCTGAGGGCCGCCTTGTCGCTGTACCTTCACGGGGTCTTCCCTCTATACCTGTGTCCCGGCCCCTCTTACAAATAAGAACCTCTTCTTACCAGTCTAGTGGATCAGAGCCCCACTCATATGACCTCACTTAATCACCTCTTTAATGGCCCCACCTCCACACACAGTCACGTGGGGGACTGAAGCTTCAACATAAGACTCGAGGGGACCCAATTAAGGCCATAACATCACCCCACACTGTCCTCTCCTCAGGCACTGTCCTTCCTCCCCCTGAGCCTCCCCAGCTCTCCTCTCCCACAGAACCTTCCAGCACATCCTCTGCAGATGCCTTGATTCCAGAGTCATCTCAAGGCTTATAGACTTCTATGTCCACGTTCACAGGGTGAGCATTTTTCACACGGCAGTGCCCCAAATCCAGCCAAATGGGAAGCTGCTCCTGGTCCTGCAGGTGCCCATGGGGACACCATCAGGCCCTCTCCTAATATTTCCCGGCCCAGGGCAACAGCACAGATGGAAACCTCCAGAGCATGACACTAAGTATTCAGAAAGTGTAAGCCAAGCTAGCAGAGTGCTAGATAGAATGTTCTGCTCTCCTATCTTGACAAATATAACTTCATAACAACAGGGAAAGCCAGTTTCAAATTTAGAATTTCTTGGACTCCTTGGAGTTTTGCACCAGAATGTGGCAATACCAAGAGAGCCGGCCCCCAGCAGGCTGCCCACCTGCTTCTCCTCCTACCCCAGCCCCACACACATACACCACAAGGGGCCTGTGCATACAAATGTGGACACCATGCCCACACTCCATCCACGTCCCACCAGTGGCTGTCCCTGGGGTCTAAAGACATGCAAACTGGTGGCATGGTCCACCCTTAGATGCACAGATCCAGGGATGGAGTCTACTCCAGCCCTCAGCACTACTGGCAGGAATCCTGGAGTCCTAGTACCTTGAGCTGTCTTAGGAGTGGCCTGGACCCAGGAGGAATATCCTTTTGGGCCCACAGACTCCTGACGCCATGGAGAGAGTCACAGCTGCAAGGGGGCTCTAAAGAATGGGGCTGTGGACAGGAGTCCCTGTTGTCCATTCAAAGGTACTCAATAAAAGCCAGTCAGTGAAGGGTGCAGTCAGTGCACCTGGATCCAGGCTTGAGCCTCCAGAAGCTTCTTTCTCCACACTCTACCTATTCACCTACATGCCCAGATACAGCCAGGGGTGATATAAAAGCCTGAGGCCCCAGCATCCTTGGCTAGGAAGCTGAAACCCCTAAGACAAGTAGCATGCTTCAGAATCAGCACCTTCATATCTTCTTTCTCTGCAGGGCAGAGAAAGAGGAGGGAGAATAGGGATCCACAGAACACTGCAAGGGTCTCAGCAGAGCTGGCCCTGGAGCAGCCCCCCACCCTTGGAGGCTGCTATTTCCCTAGGAAACCTGAGGTGGCTGCCCTGGGAGGCCAATGCACTCAAACAAAGGTCTCAGAGCCGAAGCAAAAATAAGGGGGGGGGGGGGGCACCTGGGTGGCTCCGTCAGGTAAGCATCTGCCTTCAGCTCGGGTCATGATCCCAGGGTCCTGGGATGGAGCCCCACATCTGGCTCCCTGCTCAGCAGGGAGTCTGCTTTTCCCTCTCCCTCTGCCACTCCCCCTGTTTGTGTGCTCTCTCTCTCTCTCAAATAAGTAAATAAAATCTTAAAAAAAAAAATGAGAGGAACAGGACAGGCATGTGGACAGAGAACCAGCTGCCTAGGTTCTGGAACTTTCCAACACCTCAAAGTGAGCAACACAATGCAGTAAGCCTGGAATGCTCTTTGCAGAAATTCAAGGATCTTCAGAGTTTAATTATAGACCAAGACTTTGGAAATACAAAGAAATGACTAAACCTACTTGAAAATATGTTTCACCTGCTTTTCTTAGGACTTCAGAGCAACAGAAATTTCCTTACCTTTCCTACCTTCTCTCTCTTATCTGTTCTCCCCATATGATAATGGCACTGGAAACTCAATACTAAGGGTCCAAAAACATCTGTATCACAAGAAGTGAAACAGAACCCAATGTGGGGTGGGTGGGCTTCGTGGGCGGGGGGGGGGCACAAAGGGACCCTGGGGAAATACCCACCAGAATCTGCCCTCCTTACTGACTTGGAATGTGATGTTTAGTATCAGAGCTTTTTTCATTTCCTCTGACAAATATATATAAAGATTTCTCTTCCAGAATATGGAAAGGGACTGTGACAGTTCACTTTAAGTGCCAACCTGACTGAGCCAACGGTACCCAGATATTTGGTCTAACATTATTCTGGGTATGTCTGTGAAGGTGTTTTGGATGAGATCAGCATTTGAATCAGTAGACTGTGTAAAGCAGATTGCCTTCCTGCATGTGGGTGGGCCTCATCCAATCAGTTGAAGGCCTGATTATGGAACAAAAAAGCTGACCCTCCCACAAGTAAGAGGGAACTCCTCCTGCCTGTTGAGCTGGGACATCGATCTTTTACTGCCTTTGGATTTGAACCAAAAACTTTTTGTTGGCTTTTCTTGGGTCTGGCGCCTGTGGGCATTTGGACTGTTAGGACACCATCGGCTCTCCTGAGTCTCCAGCTTGCTAACAACTGCAGATCCTGAGAGTCTCAGTCTCCACATCATGAAAGTCAGTTCCTCATATTAAATCTCTTCTCTCTATATATCTACATCCTATTGGTTCTGTTCTCTGGAGAACTCTGACCAATACAGGGACTCAGTGGGTCAAGAATGGAAGAGGGGACTGTCTTCTGCAGTAGGAGCTACAGAGGTGCTTGGGGGCTCAGTGCTGTCAGAGCTTGCCTTTGCACTCCAGCTGCCCTCCCAGCTGAAGCTCCTAAGGATCGCTTGCAGCTTCTAGTGGAAAGGATGACGTCATGGGCTCTAAGCTTCAAGTAAAGGAGCAAAGGCCCTCTGAGCGCCCAGCAGCAATTGGCAGCACAGACGCACTTCTCTGGATTCTACTTCTCTCTGAGGTTGTGTGACTTCTTTTTTTTTTTTTTTAAGATTTTATTTATTTAATTGTCACAGAAAGAGAGACAGCTAGAGAGGGAACACAAGCAGGGGGAGAGGGAGAAGCAAGCTTCCGGCTGAGCAGAGAGCACAATGCGGGGCTCGATCCCAGGACCCTGGGATCATGACCCGAGCCGAAGGCAGAGGCTTAACGATTGAGCCACCCAGGCGCCCCTGTGACTTCTTTTTTATTAGCTCTAAACCAATTATTTCTCAGGCTGGGAAGGGCTCGCCGCCTGTGATACAGCATAAAGCCTCATCTGTGCGGAAGCAATGGGAGATTTCTCAGGAGGAAAAGAAGACCCACATGCCGAGAGTGCCAAGGAACCTCCCTCCTCACAGTCACCTAGAACGCACATGTGTTATCCATCACCATTACCCCAACTCTTCCTCCTGATACAAGGTGGGTTTACCTTGGTACATGGCAGGAGAAATTGGCCAACTGACGCCCAGAGCCTCGTCCTCTCGGAATGTCTCACAGAAGTCCTGCAGCATGGCCATGCCCAGGCCTTGGCGACGGTACGTCCTCCTGACAAACACGGTGTCGAAGACAGGCAGCAGGTAGCACACACCTGTGCCATCACCACACAGGCTGCCTGCAGGGAAAGGAAGTGACATGCACTGGCCCCAGACTTGCACCAAGCTGCCAGAATCCTGCAGAATGCCCACACAGCCGGGTCATTGGTACCACCTGGAAGAAGGGCTCACATCACTGACGAAACAACCTGACAAGACAGCAGATCCTCCCAAACCACCAGTTCTCCCCAGCTGGCGGGTCAGCCCACATGTGATTGATCACTGGGAGGACAGCCACCAGACTACTGCACGGAAATGAAAAGCAAACCCAGGTGAATGGACCATTCATGCACCCAAGACCCTGAGATGCTGCCCTCACCACGCACAGTTCACAGAGACACTTGAAGCCAATGAGAAGCATCTGGGCGACATCGAAGTTCTCCATGAACCCAGGCTGTACGGGCTGGGAGATCCACCCAATACATCTCTAGGGCATGGACTTGTTTTGGTAACTCTAACAAGGGGTCATCATGTCCTATTAAGGCAAAGTACATTTACCCCGAATAGACTAAGTCCTGTTTCCCCTACGATATCAATGACCTTGCTATAGCAGAGCAGGAGAGGTGACAGTTGGCACCCTTCCCACTTTTCTTTTTTTCTTTTTTTTTTTAAGATTTTATTTATTTATTTGACAGAGACACAGTGAGAGAGGGAACACAAGCAGGAGGAGTGGGAGAGGGAGAAGCAGGCTTCCCGCGGAGCAGAGAGCCTGATGCGGGGCTCGATCCCAGGACCCTGGGACCATGACCTGAGCCGAAGGCAGACGCTTAACCACTGAGCCACCCAGGCGCCCCCTTTCCCACTTTTCTACCCTGAACTGAACTTCACTGCAACCAGCACCAATACCAGCACAGTTGCTGTTTCTGCAATGGGAGCTTAGTGTTGCAGCCAGTTGCCTCTGTCATCACCCTAACCAGAAAATCGGTGCTACATGGAGCCTACTACATCATCTTTCTCTCTTCCAAGCTGCACAGGGGCCTGTGTCCTAGATGCACTAGAGTCCAGGAGAAGGAGTATGTAGCATATTCAGCTCCTATTAGAAAAAGAGGTATTCATCCCCACCAAGATTCAGAAGGTGGGTAATCTCCCAAACAAAAAACTGACTCCAATTCTAATCGGCCAGACTGAGTTGCAGAGACACATGCTACCATAATAACTGCAAAAATGGCCACAGTTATTACCCCTCCTGTATCCACATCCCTTTACATGTGGTTCTGAAGCACCTGCCATCAAGAGACTGGGTCTGGCCACATAGGGTCCAGTGCCCATCTGTTCTCTCTCATATCCCTGCCACTCACCCCAAGAACAAATCTGGACTAGCCTGTCACCATGAAAGAAACATGGCCTGGGTACCCTTGTGGTCCCAGCAAACATCGAGCCACCCCCAAAAAGCAGAGCCACCTACTGTCAATCAAAAGGATGGTGAGCTGAATGGTTGGTTTTGTGGGAAAATGAATGAAATAAATAATCTGTGGCCAGTGATCAATACCACCAAATTCACTTGAGATGGTAATTGTAGAGTATTTGAATTTCACCTTCATTGTTCTTGAAATGATAGTACAAACTTGGATTGGAATTCTATAACTTCCAACTTCTACAGACAATGAGAACAACATTCCCCAAATGATAAAGTCTTCCAAAGCTGAAAAGGTTTAATGTTAAATAAAAATACAATTCCATTCATGATAGCCTTAAAAAAGAGTCGGTATTTAGGAATATATTTAAACAAAAGAAGCTCAAATCTTGAATACTGAAAAACTAGCAAACATTGTCAAGGGAAATTAAAGAAAATCTAAATAAATGGAGACATTCCATGTTCATGGATTGGATGACTCAATACTGTTAAGATGGCAATTCTTCCCAAACTGGTCTGTAAGTTCAATGCCTATCAAAATCTTAGCAGGCATTTTCTTTTTTTAAGAGAGAGTGAGAGGGAGGGCAGGGGGTGGGGAGGGAGGGAAAGGGACAGAGGGAGAGGGAGAGAGGGAATCTTAAGCAGGCTCCACACCCAGCATAGAGCCCAACACGGGGCTCGATCTCATGACCCTGAGATCATGACCTGAGTTGAAATCAAGAGTCAGACACAATCAACTGAGCCACCCAGGCGCCCCACCAGCAGGCATTTTTGTGGACACTGACAAGCTGATACTAATATTGACATGAAATGCAAAGTCTCTACAATAAGCAACCCAGTTCTGAAAAAGAAGAGTAAAGTTGGAAGTTTTACACTACCCAATTTCAAGGTTTCTTATAAAATCAAGGCAGGCAAGCCAGTGGGATACTGGTGCAAGGATAGGCACATACATCAGTGGAACAGAAATGAGTCCAGAAATAAACTCTTACACTTTGAACTTCAACAAAGGTGCCCTTTTCAAATAAGGAAAAGACAGTCTTTTCAACAAATGGTGGTGAGATGACTGGATATTGATAAATAAAAAAAAATTTTTTTTTTTTTAAGGGAAGAAGCTGGAACAGAACAGAAAGCCCAGAATTAGATCCACACAAATATAGTCAACTGATCTTTGACAAACAAGCAAAGTAAAGTCAATGGAGAAAGGACAGTCCCAGTAAGTGATACTGGACAACTGGATATCCATATGAAAAAAAATAATAATAATCTAGACACAGACCTCAAGCCCTTCAAAAAACTTGCCTTAAAATGAATCACAGACATACATATAAAACGCAAAACTACAAAACTCCTAGAAAATAACACAAGAGAGAGGCACCTGGGTGGCTCAGTCATTGGGCGTGTCTGCCTTCGGCTCAGGTCATGGTCCCAGGGTCCTGGGATCAAGCCCCGCATCAGGCTCCCTGCTCCAGGGGAAGCCTGCTTCTCCCTCTCCCACTCTCCCTGCTTGTGTTCACTCTCTCTCTCTGTGTCTCTCTCTGTCAAATAAATAAATAAAATCTTAAAAAAAAAAAAAGAAAGAAAAGAACACAAGAGAATATCTAGATGACCTTGGGTTTAGCGATAAATTTTTTACATACAATAACAAAGGCATGATCCATGAAAGAAAAAACTGACAAGCTGAATTTCATTAAAATTAAAATTTGCTGCTCTGTGAAAGACCATGTCAAAAGAATGAAAAGGCAAGGCATGAACTGGGAAAAAATATTTGCAAAAGACACATTTGTCTGATAAAGAACTGTTATCTGAAATATACAAAGAACTTTAAAAAATCAATTGTAAGAAAACAAACAACTTGATTAAAAAGTAAAAAGTAGACCAGAGATTTTAATAGAGACCTCATCAAAGATGTATACGTACAACAGATGAGCGTATCAAAAGATGCTCCACATCATGTCATCAGATAAATGCCAATTAAACCAACAAGATATCACTGCACACCTAATAGAGTGACCAAATTCCAGAACTGTCAACACCAAATGCTGGTGAGGATGCGGAGCAATAGGAACTCTCATTCATTGTTGGGGGAAATGCAAAATGATATAGCAACTCTGGATGACAGCTTGGTGGTTTTTACAAAAGTAAACATACTCATATCATATAATTCATCAGTTGTGCTCCTTAACACTTATCAAAAGGAGTTGAGAACCGTAATTCAAGATGGATCTAGGAATAAATAGAAGTTAAAACTATAAAGCTTTCAGAAGAAAACATAAAGGAAAATCTTCACAACCTTGGGTTAGTCAGAGAGTTCTTAAATTCAATACAGAAGCACAATCAATTGACAAATCTGACTTTATTAAAGTTAACTTTTGTACTTCAAAGTTAGACTGCAGAAAATATTTACAAATCACATTTCTGATAAAGGACATATCCAGACTATATAAAGAACTCTAACAATACAATAAAAAGAAAACCACCAATTAAAAATGGACAGATGATCTGAACACTTTTTCAGAGAAGACATACAAACGGTTAATAATCAGTGAAAAGACACTCAACATCATTAACCACTAGGAAAATGAAAATTAAAACCACAATGCAATGCTACTTTTGACCTACTAAAAAATGGCTATAGTCAAGATGACAAGCAGTAATAAATGTTGACAAGATGTGGAGAAATTGAAACCGTCCCATACGCTGATGGGAATGTGTAATGGTAAAGCTACTTTGTCAAATAATTTGACAGTTTCTTAAAGTTAAACATGTGCTTATCAGATGACCCACCAATTCTATTCCTAGGAAGCTAGTATTTGCTACAATTTGGATGAACCTCAAAAACATTAAGTAAAATAAGCCAGACAGAAAACACCACATATTGTATCATTCCATTTAGATGAAATACCCTGGAAAGGCAAATTGATAAAGACAGAGAGCAGACTGGGGGTTGCCTAGAGCTGGGGTGGAAACAGAGATTGGCAGCAAACAGGCAACTTTTTGGGGTGATGGAAATATCCAAAACTCTAAATTTTTTAGAAATCCCTTACCATCGGCAAATTTTATGGAGTGTAAAATTATACCTCAACAAAATTGATTTTTAAAAGATTCAACAAATTGTATTAAAATTATTGTATTGGGGCGCCTGGGTGGCTCAGTGGGTTAAGCATCTGACTCTTGGTTTCAGCTCAGGTCATGATCTCACAGTCGTGAGATTGAGCCCCACATCTGGTTCCCCACTCAGTGTGGAGTCTGCTTCAGATTCTTTCTCCCTCTCCCTCCCCCTTTGCCCCTCTCTGCTCACATGTTCTCTCTTTTTCAAATAAATAAAATCTTTAAATAAATAATAACAATAAAATTATTACATTGAAATTATATGAAAAAGATACAATCAAGTGTAAAAGAGGAAAAATAGTAACTTTACAGTAGAGAAACCTACCAGACACCCCCTTGAGTGATCAGGGTGAGCATTGCTAATAGTAATGTTGGCATCATGTACCTTCACGTGTGATGGAAGCATGTGATTACAAGGACACTTCACTTTCCCCCAAACCCATATCCCACTCTAATCATGTGAAAATATCAGACAGACCTAAATTAAGAGACATTTCACAAATCTCCTGACCAGTACTCTTCAAAAGTGTCCAGGTCATGAAAGACAAGGAGAACAAA